TCCCCCCGCAACTGCGCTCCCCTGCTGGCCTGGTCGCCCCTAACTGCCCTCCCCTGCTGGCCATCTTGTGCAAGGGCATGATGGTCAATTTGCATATTACCTCTTTATTATATAGGATTCCAGAGAGGTTTAGCATCCTTATCTTTTAACTGTTTTTAAAAAACATCCAACATCCCCAATGCCATTAGTGTCCACCCAGATCCGTTTTTCCAGGCTGGTATACCCAGCCCTCAGCTACTTCAGATGGTGGGAACGAATGGTCATCTCCATCTTTCTCCAGAGGATTGTCCTAGACGATGGGTGTCACCTTACCCACAGATGCCTGAAATGTTTTGCTCTCACCCCTTGAGGTTGGCCCACCTGTGCATTTGTGCTCCTGGGCGCTCTGGGATTAGGCTGAAGAGAGACTTCTCTGGAAGCCACATCTTCGCCTCTTTTCTTCTCCCACCCCATCCTGTTACCTTCATTTATTCTCAGTAAACCACAAGAATCCTCTTTTCAAGTGCTGTTTTAAGGGAACCTGACTTACTAGAAAATTGGGCAAAAAAGGTTGACCTAGAAAAATGTTCAGTAAACATGAAGGAGCTGAACTTTTTAGTAATCAGGCAAAAGTTACCAAGTATAAAATTTTCTTTTGCTGATCAGGTTGAAAAATTTATAAAATGAGTATTTTCATGATTGTGGGGAAAGGCATTAACGTGGAAGAGATATAATTTGATACCAATCTTATAGATATTCCTGTAAATGTATTTCTTTAGAAATAACTGGTTAGATACAAAGGGTGCATGGATGAGGATATTCATTGCAACAATATCTTAAATAATGGGAGAATGAAAACAACCTTATGCTCAATAATAATAAGATTAGTTAAATGATCCATTGTACAGTGAAACAAGAATAAAGATGTGTAGAATAGGTTCAATTGAGAACAAAGTTATAAAACTGAATGTGCAGTGCCAATATGTAATGTGCACAGAAAAATCAGAGTGCCATGAAATTAGGATTATTGGTGTGATGTAGCTTTTTTCAGTATCTGTTTCTACAATTGGCTGAATACTTAATGAGTATGTATTGCTTGTTCAAGAGGAGAGAGGAAGTTTTTCATTTGGGGAATGAAAGCAGTGTGATAGATGTAATGACCTGGAGAAAAAGTATAAGAATACACTTGGAAGAAATAACAAAGTCCAAAGGAAGGGGTCCAGATGGCTTCCTGGACAAAAATGCCTCTAACCCAAGCATGTCAAACTCAAAGGCTAACACAGGCCAAATAAACAAGGTTTAAGTTAATGTGGGCCACAAAAAAACAAAAGCTTCCATTGTCATAGAAACGTAGGTTTATTTTGATAGAGACATGCTAAATACAAAGGGCTGAAAGACATAAAATAATAGAACATTTTAATAAAAATTAATAGTTTTTCTTGAACATTAACTTACCAGACACTGAATAACTGCACAAATTAATAAGCGTAACGCAAATAAACCTATTTTTCTTGTTCTCCGGAAGCAAAATATTTCCTGTTGTGCACACCAAACAAGTCAGGACAAGACCAATGATGTGGCAATCGGCTGCTAAAATATTCGCTGCGAGTATTAGTGGAGAGAAATGGTGCGCCTGCACGTAAGGCGAGTAAGAGAAATGAATGCAACATGATTATAGTAATCAGTCATTAGCGAACGTTGTAGTTCGTTATTAATTGTCGGCCCTAACCGGTTTGGCTCAGTGGATAGAGCGTCGGCCTGCGGACTAAGGGGTCCCAGGTTCGATTCCGGTCAAGGGCATGTACCTTGGTTGCGGGCACATCCCCAGTAGGGGGTGTGCAGGAGGCAGCTGATCCATGTTTCTCTCTCATCAATGTTTCTAACTCTCTATCCCTCTCCCTTCCTCTCTGTAAAAAAAAAAACCAATAAAATGTATTTAAACAAAAATAATGATGTATAACAGGACATCGTAAGAATGAAGTTACAAAATTTTTATTATTTTATTAAAACGTTTCTTACATACTGTTATATTGACTGGGCCGCAAAAATATTCATGTGGGCTGCATGTGGGCTGCGAGTTTGACACGCTTGCTCTAACCCAAAGGAAGAAGGAGAAATGATGCCGCGGGGTGGGGTGGGGTGGGGTGGGGTGGGGTGAGGTGGGAAGAAGACCCTTCCAGGGAACTGCCACCACATGTAAAAACAGAAAAGCAAGTGCCTGGATTTTTTAAGGAACTGAAAATTCAGTGGAGTTGAAATTTAGAGTTTAGCTAGGAAAGTAATGAGAAATAGATGAGAATAGAGTTAACAGCTGTCTGATTTTAAGGATTTTAGAAAACATTAAGGAGAAAAGGAAAGCCATTGAAGAATTTTTCAAAGGAGACTGACGTGACCAGATTTGCGTTTTAGGAAAATCACTCTGGCTGCAATTTGGAGAACAGACTGGAGGGAAGTGAACCAGAGGCTGGGGTCTCAGTGGGGCCTGGTGATCTGATGGGAGGAAGTGGGCAGGTTACAGAGCAGTGTCCTTGGTAAGAAGACTCCGTGGTTGGTTGAAAGAGGGTGAGGGAGAGAGAATGTCAAGAACAACTTCCAGGGGTCTCTTGGCCAAAGGAGTATTCCCTTCACTGAGAAAACACAAGACAACAGACTGTGGACAGAGCTGGCTCGGGGGAAGACAAGGAAGGAGCTTGTAAAAGTTGACTTCCTATTCAACAGACTTGAAAATTTTGCCTGAACTGTTTATCTTTTTTTCAGCAGAGCTAACTGAGTTGCCCTTGTTCAAGGGGATGTATCCCATGTTGTCTCTACCTCTGTGTTAGTGCAGGTCTTTATATGTGGCAACACAAAAGTGTTTAACCCCTTCGTCTCTTCTTTACCCTCCCGCTCTTGTGGGGAGGGAGACTGGAGAAAATCATCATAAAGAGAGGACTTGGTCACATCATAACACACTGAAGATAATGCCATGGGAGACGTCAGTATTAGCAAGAGAAATGTTGCCTGTGAAAGGGAAGGACCCTGAGCCTTAAGGATCTGAGAAATTAGAACCAGGACCCTAGAGGGAGGGGGATGGGAGAGAGGGAGATAGAAGGAAGCTGCCCTTGGAAGGTTGACTCTGGATTAGGAGACTAGATAGAAAATATTAAAAAATACTTCACACCATCCTCAGAACTCCATATGTGTGCATGACCAGCTGCCTGCAAGTGCTGGTATGGACTATGCCTGAGTGTCCTCTCAAAGTGTTGGAGGCATAGCTAAGAGGTTATGTGTGTGATACTGTCTGGAGCGAGTTCTGGGGAGGGTACCAGTGCTGGTGTTTCATGATGGCCTTCAGACATTTCCTAACATGCCACACTATTCCCATACCCGTATCCTTTCCTCTCTTCTCTCCACTACCTGGGATGTTCTGTGCTTGAATTACTCCAGATTATCCCTCAGATTCCTCTGAAAGCCACCATCTCTAAGCAGTCTTTGTAGATATCCCCTCACCCCATCAGATGATGTGCCTCCACATCTTAGACTCATAGAACTCTATTTTTTACTTCATTGTACTTACTACAGGCATTTACTATATATATATATATATATATTTCTGTGATTATTTCTTAGTATTCATCGAATTTTCTCATCACAGGTCTTAGCACCTGGTCCAACACCTGGCAACAAACACCTTGGAGATCAGGAGTTATCCACCAGGTGTGTTTTCTTGTTGGAGGCCTTTGACACTGCCAGAGCTGTCCTTAACAATGGCTAAACCTCAGTCCATTCCTGATGGAACTTCTTAAGGAGCATTGTTTAGCGTGCAGTAAACATTCTGCCCACCAGGGGTCTCTTTCCCCCATCATTGGGGCCAAAAGAACTTATTCTTTTTTTTAAGTATAGTTTTATTGATTTCAGAGAGGAAGGGAGAGGGAGAGAGAGATAGAAACATCCATGATGAGAGAGAATCATTGATCAGTGCCTCCTGCACACCCCACACCAGGGATCAAGCCCGCAACCGCGTATATGCCCTGATCAGGAATCCAGGTACATTGATGTTCAACCACTGAGCCACCACGGCCAGGCAAGAACTTACGCCTTTGTATCAATGGTTTTCAAGCCTCGCAGCCCAAGGTGTGGTGGTGGCATACCACCACTTCTAGAACCTCAGGTCCAGTCTGAGCCTGGCAGAATCAGAATCTGCATTTTAAGATCCTCATGTGATCCACATACATATTAACTACTGAGAAATACTGTTCTACAGGGCAGTCCTAATCTGAAAAACTTGGAAGAATAACAACACCCCACCTAAATGGCCTTTTTCACTTATAGAAGTACTTAGAAAGAGGTTTAGAATGTGTTTGCTTTTATTATGAATATAAAATATACATACGACATAAGATACATTTACACATTTACAATTTGCCGTTACTTTCATCTTTTTGAGCAAATCCCATTCTGCATGGCCCCGTTGCCCACTCCTTCCACTGCACTCCGCTCACACTCGCAACATCCGCTTCACCTCAGCACAGTGTGTGACTTGGTAAGGAATACCAGGCCCAGCCGGAAAACGGCTGGCTTTCCTGTCCTTCTCTTCCATTCTACTGTTTCCGTCACTGTATGCTTTTCCATTGCCTCAGACTTCAGCAGTAAAAATTCAGGAGAAAAGAGGGCGGCAATAATCACCTTTGTCTCTTAGAAACACCTTGAAATATCCTACGTGAGTGAGGTGACACATAGGCAGCCACTGAGCACTGCTCATTGGCATGGGTTACGGACTATCTACGGGAAGGCTCTGGAGCGTTGTGTACGAATCAAGCTCTGCCCACCAAACGGATGAGCATAAAGAATCTGAGTATCAGTGATAGTGGAGTTCATTTAAGAATAAATAAATAAATGCACAGGAATAGATACAAATAAATAGAGTGGGTCGCCCTAAGGGAAATTTCAATGCCTATGTCCCAGTGCTTTCTTGAAACTTGACAAGTTGCAGCCTGACCATAGGGTTTTGTAACTAAGTTGCTCTTCTCTGGGGCCCGGCCTTCCAAAGGCCACTGGTGAGGAGCAGCTGAAGAAAGCCCGCGATCCGTCGGTCGTGTCTCCTAGAACGCAGCTATGCGAGATACAAGGTGCAGCCTGACCATAGGTTGATGAGGAGAAGCAGGGTTTTGTAACTAAGTTGCTCTTCACTGGGGCCCGGCCTTCCAAAGGCCACCGGTGAGGAGCAGCTGAAGAAAGCCCGCGGTCCGTCGGTCGTGTCTCCTAGAACGCAGCTATGCGAGAGGTCTTGTAGGAGTTCTCTTTGAGGCTGTCAAATATCGCTTTGGTTCCGTTCTGCCAGTGTAACACCAGGTCCATCGGGGTCTTCCCAGCCTAATCAAAACAGATGAGGAAATTTGACTTCCAGATGGGAGGCATCTATAAATTCTCATCCTCTCTCAAGATATGTTTAATGAGGTAATGGATGGGTGTGTGTTACTGGAGTGTTTTATGCTTTCTTCTGTGAGTGATTTGCCGTTTTTATTCAAACCAGTCTTTCACTGTTTCTCATGGGAATGCTTTTGGCATTTCAGATGAGCAATTTTTTCCCCCTATGGGACTATTTCAGGTATTAATAAAAATCCCCAGTTCCTATCAATTTGTAAAATGACTCCTTGATTGATAAAAACTGGTGGTAACCCAGCTGCTTCGACGCCTTGGCTTAAATACTCAGGAACTGCTCAGAACTATTACTGCTCCAGGGGGTAGATTTTTCACAACTAGTTACATTGAGCTCTCTCCCAGGAAATTTTACTTTTCTGGAGGTGACATCAGTGACATGTGTGAATAAATAATTTTTGACACCAAAATTCTTTTTCTTTTGAATGTCTCAAGATAGTCACAGAAAATTAAAATCATGGCACCTCTCAATTCTTGTCTTTAAATATGAGAAGTTCTAAAACTTTCCATCCCTATTCATTCAGAAGTCTCTCTTTAACACAGAGATTGCGAATTGGCAGCTTTGAGATGCAAATCAGTCTAGAGCAGTGATGGCGAACCTATGACACGCGTGTCAGAGGTGACACGCGAACTCATTTTTTTGGTTGATTTTTCTTTGTTAAATGGCATTTAATATATAAAATAAATATCAAAAATATAAGTTTTTGTTTTACTATGATTGCAAATATCAAAAAATTTCTATATGTGACACGGCACCAGAGTTAAGTTAGGGTTTTTCAAAATGCTGACACGCCGAGCTCAAAAGGTTTGCCATCACTGGTCTAGAGACCTGTTTTGTTTTGGCCCAAACAGCTTAGGTTTGTGTGTGTGTGTGTGTGTGTGTGTGTGTGTGTATTTTGTACATTGAATTAATTGTCAACAGTTGGAAAATAAGAGATTTGCCAACTGAATTAGTGATCTCTGACAAAAAAAAATCAGAAGAGCTGGCAGCATGAGACTGTGGTTCCGCAGAGCAACAAGGGGCTGGCTTGGGGAAGAGCCTCCACCTTGCAAAGTGATGTGCACAGATTCCTGCATCCACCCCCTTATGTTACTTGTATGATCCGCCTGGTCCCTGTGCATATTGACTCAGTGGCCCTGTAACCTTCACTTTGGAACTTCTCACACATCTCCCTTTATCAGCAGACATGAAGACAGTTTGGACAACAACACAATAACATATTGTGTGTTGTTCCCAATCCCTTTCAAGATGGTTTCCAATAGCTTATTGGTCTTTGTGGAACATTGACCCATTGGGTCAATGACATGAATAGTTTCAGAACCCGCATGCCTGGGTCTCACTGATATACAGAACTCTGAGCCCTATTTGTATATTTTTGGCTATTCCATAAATTCCTGGCACTCCTCTCTATTGAAATCTATCTCCTGGTTTTCTGCCTAGTTACACAGTCTCCCCAATCTGTATGCTATTTATCTCTGCGGGTAGTGTCTCACAGTCTGAAGAAAAAAAATCATATTTTCTGCAGCTTTGGAGATTTGATTGAATCTACTCTTTTTCTGATACTTTAAATTATTAGATAAAGCCAATTCCGATATCAGGGGTGAGGGAATTCTACCTTTAACACTTTCCCACCCCAAGCAGCAGTCTCTATTACTTGCACTTATTCTTTGTTCCTGTCATCAAGCCAATTGTTTCCATGATAAAATATTCCTCTCAGTCTCATAGTAATACAATAAGGAGAAGAAATAATTCACATTATATGATCACCGGGATTTTCTTTTTTGTAAAAAGCGATTCTCCAAAAGCTTTCAAGTTATTTTTTCAGTAATTTACACCCTTTCCTCTGGGTGATATTTTTAAAGCTTATATTAGATGATGTTTGCCTGGGAATTGGGACCATGAGAAGTTGGTTTCGTTTTCTGCTTACAGATGAAGCTAAATTAATACATACTTGTAAAAGGGACTTATACAAGCATTTTCGAGGCCTAAATATAGGAAATTATTTTGAGGGATGTGCAGATAAACCAAAGCAGAAAATAGATGGAGATTATCTCAAAAATATAGGCAACAGTACAGCGGCCCCTGGAAGAAAGTGGTAGCATGCGATGCTGTTGTCAGGAGGGGAGGACTGCGAATTCCTGGGATTAGATATTGATTGATTTGAGTTCACTGGCTCTGGCTGCGTTGACCACTGTGGAATTTGAGACCCCTTCAGGAAGGTGGTGTCTGTATTCCTGTCAACCCCAGGCTGTGCTCAGCCAGGATGGACACAGCAGATTGCACTTGTGTCCGTGGAGGCGAGCAATTGGACCATCTTTTATTTTCAAGACCAAATTCTAAAAGAATTACTAGATACCATATTAGACACTGAAGTCATAGCAGTCACTATGGCTCTCCCCATCTCTGACCAGGTGACCCGAGTCTGCCAAGGTTAGCAGGGATGGAATGGACCAAACGGGCCACTGAAACCGTTAGAGACGACCCCTGAAATACTACCATTGTGGGACGATTTTCAAGACGGTTTTATAAATTGGAAATCCTGCAGGCAGGGTCCCTTGTTTGGAGCACTTACACAGTTCTTGACGTTGAGGTCCGCGCCGTACATAATCAGGAGTCGGATCATCTTGTAACGATTCAGTCTCACGGCGTCGTGCAGCGGGGTATCTCCTTCCTAGAGAAGCAGAGTGAACACGCTGAAGGGGGTCCTGAGGACAGAGGTGGGTACCGGCTTGGGAGTAATTCCAAATCAACAAGGACTAAACTCTGACTACTCACTCGGTCTTTGGCGTTGAGGTCCGCCTCGCAGGCGATGAGATGCTCCGCGCACTCGTAGTGGCCCGTCCTCACCGCCACGTGCAGCGCTGTGCTGAGCAACTGGGAGATTGAAGAACGAGGTGGATTTGCTGGGCGTGAGGACCGGGCTGTCCCAGACCCCGAGGCATGTAGGGAGGGGGCGGGGGAGTGGCCACTATGGTACCCCACACACAGAATGGGCTCTCAGCAGATGGCAAAGGTGGGAGGAGGTGGGAAATGAGGAATAGAAAGGGGAGGGGGAGAGGGAGAAGGAGAGGAAGAACAGGGAGAGAGGAGGAGGAGGAGGAGAGAGGAAGAAGGGGGGGGGGCGCGCAGGGCTGCAAGAGGAGAAATACCTTATCCCGGGCACTGATTTTTGCTCCTTTATTCAGCAACAATTTTAAGACATCCACGTTTCCTCCACGGCTTGCCCAGTGGATGGCTGTAGATTCAAGCTATATCCGGAAGGTAAAAGGACATGACTTAAGGTAAAGAAGAATCTGGTCAGAGGAATTAGTGCGGACTTGGTGTCTAAGGCCCAGGAACTCCTGCTTTGCTGGGACATCTGGTAGCAGTGGTTGTCCCCGTCTAGATCCCCAATTCCAACTATTGGAGTTGAAGGCTCTTTGCCAAATGTTTTAGCTAAACTCTTACGTGTGCGAACGGGAGTATATGCATGCATATGTGTGCATCTGTCATGTGCATCGTTAGGAGGCTCTTAATCTAATAAATATGTATTAAGAAGAATAAGAGTTACAACTTGATGAGAATCTCCTCATGCCAACATGTTGCTAGCCACCCTCGACTTGGTTGTCCTCCTGGCAACATTATGAGTGAGGTAGGTGGTACTGTGATAAAAGCAAGGCTCCACAGTAGTCATGTTTGCTCCCCAAGGACATACAGCTAGTGAATGGCAGGATAGATATGCAAACCCACTTTTAATCACTTTTGCCAAATACGAATACTCAAAAGTTCTAGAAAAAGTGTACTTCAACATTCTGGCAGAATAAAAGTGGTCCCTTCCAAAAGATTTTAAGTTGCATCTGACACCTCTTCCTGTGCCCCTGTTATTTCTTATCTCCTGCCCGTTCTCATTTCTCCTTTGTGCTAGCATAACTTCTGCACCTCGCCCGTCATCCCTTGTGGTCACTGCATGCTGCACTTACTCAGAGAGGGCCCCCTTCGCTGCTCTGGGTGGTTTGTCTCTGGCCTGTCAAATCCCACACTCGTGAATTTTAGTGTCTTTCCATGCTAACTTTATTTTTTGTTTCTTTAATTGTTTTTCTGTGTGTCTTTTGGGTTCAGTTTTGGCCAAATCCTTTGTACTCTTCATGTACCCTTTCCGCTTTGCTCTAAAGTCAAATTGAGCTGCATTTAAATAAATAAAGCATTTCCCAGCTCAATTTCAGTTCATAAAATACGCTGTATACTGGTCTTTGTAGAAATCACAGTGTTGAATTATTGAGGTCTGAAAAGCAGCTGCTTTCCATAGATGCAATTCATTTAGTATGCAGTCTAGCCCCAAATCACGTCTACGGCAGTCAGCATCTATCATATAAGGCATGCAGCGAGAGAATTCTGATTCATTGCTGGCAGCCCAGGGGCCTCGAGCAGACTGCCGTGTATAATGGAAGGGCGGGGATGTTGAAAGGCGAGTGTCGACTGTATTACTTCTCAGTAATGCTACTGACTTGATAATGACCCAGCTCTCTGATGAGGATATTGAATTCTGCTCAACAGCTTTCACTTCCTCCTTTCCCCTGGAACACTTCTCTCCTTTTCAGTATGTATAGAAAATACTTTCCACATGACCTAGTCCCATCTCTTGTGTGGAGAAATAAGCTTTTTGCCTAGTTCTCTCAGATCAATTTCCAGTCCAATCAGCCCAGTGTTTCATTTTAGCTTTTCTCAAGCTTCATATAGTCTATACATTTTGGCTTATTTCCAAACGAAGAAATATATTCACCATATCACGGAATTCGATCTGTGCTCCAGCTTCCAATAACTTCTCCACAATTGCCAGGTGTCCTTCCAAGCATGCTCTATGCAGAGCTGTCCGTTTATACTGTCAGAATAGAGATTAAAAGAGAGAAATGCATATAAAAATGTGCATAAATCCTTTCTAGTAGGTCTGAATCTGGGGACTTTGATGACTTAATTGATAGAAACTGGAGTGCTTCTTTATGAATTAGAAATGTTAAATTCACTAAAATTGCAGAACTAGAACAATTATCCTGCAACTGAGATTTGTGCTTCCTGCAAAGTACATTTCTAAGTGCCTAGAAGTCTGTCTACATAGGGGGATGTGACGTCTTGCAGGTTCAAGACGACCCAAATGCTGATTTTCCCTCTATTGTATTTTGTGCCTTCATTGTTGTGTGATATTTATCATGCAGATCAGACAGTTTTCTTTCAGATCTGGGACTGTTGGTAAGTTAAACATCAAAAAGTATTCCATTCATTTTAAGAAAATGGGAGCACTCATTTTTAGTTCAACTTCAGAAATGATTCCCCATTTACATTTCTGAATACAAAAAGGATTAGTGATTTCTGGTAAATTGGCTTCATACAAATAGGTGAATTAGACTTATTAAAGCTGCAACAACTTTAGGCATGATATCACTCCAGTGCCCTCCTTACAGATAAGGAAACTGAGATTGGGGAATGCAAATCAAGTAGCAAAGTAGAGATAGAACTGGCACGTGAGCACTAGTCTCTGAATTTCCCACCTAGAGCTGATGTGTTTGGGTCCAATCAGAGATGATGCTAATAATATACAGGGTATCCCCCCAAATTCATAGACACTTTGAATAATTATTAACTCCAATGCGTTAAATCTGAAAAGAAAGAAACATCAATTGAGCTATCAGGAAAAAGTGTATATACATTTTTTGGGGGACACTCTATTTCTGCAAAGGTAGTTTGTTGGCCTGGCCTTATTCAACGCCTATCCCAAGGATCTAAGAAGTTAAAGGCGAATGAAAAATCAGCCAGAAATATATGAGTCCAAAACAATTATTCAATCAATAGCACTAATCCAGGATTTTGTGGGGAGGGGGGTGTTTTTCTTTTGGACCACTGACTCTTCTGTTATGCTGCTGACATATGTGGCAACAGCTGGGGAAAGCTGTTTCAGGTGGATTGATTTTTGGCACCATGTTAGCAAGGCTGCAGTAAAGCAGAAGAAACACAAAATTAATGAGCTGGGTTTTGCAGTGCTTTTTGTAAGCCTTACCTCATCACAGGCATCTGGATTGTTCTTGTCTGACAAGAATTTTTCTACTACTGGCAGTTTATTCTCCAGGGCAGCCTTCAGAAACCGAGGCACATCCACAGGTTCTGTCTAAAGCCAAAATAGGGTGAGAGTTACCCGTGAGCATCCCAACATTCAATCAAACCCTCCACAGGTTTATTCCCCCATAGCACACACGCCAGACATGTGAGACTATAAAGCCTCAAAGCCCTTACGATGATTTCAGGTTCAGGTTCCTTCACAACCGGAACTTTAGTTTTCCTGTATTTTTTCTTTTTCTTCAGTTGAATGATAACTTCAAGGTCTTCTAAATTTTCAAGCTTTGATCTTTGTTCTAGTTTTTTCTTCTTGAGCTAAAAAAGAAAACCGTGTTTCAAAATATGTTGAGTTCTACTGACAAGCATTCTGGTTGTGTCTAAACAAAACCTGCAAGGTCTGAAATAAGTATGTATACTGCATGAGCAAAAGAATAGAAAAAATAAGTCTTTGATTTCAGTTTAGTCATTTCTTATTCGAGGATTTGGGGGTCTGATTTTTTAATTAATTGTCTTCATCTTCACTTATCTTGCATGTAGCATCAGCTTTTGACTAATTGGAGATAGGATCTAGTCTCTAAGTGATGATTTTGTAATTACTGCCATAAACAAACCCCAGATTTCTGTCAAATTTTTTCATCATACTCAAGAATTTTCTTTTTTACCAAAATTAATCTAATAATGAGTGCTGAGGTTTGAAATATCAATGCCAATCTCTTTCAGGTGGCCCAGTAAGCAGGGCCCATGAAACAGACTGTCCGAGGACTACAGCTAACTAATGCATGTTTTATCTGTCATTAGTAAGTAATGAAAATTCACCCAGGAACACAGATCTTAGCAACACAGA